TTATAAGGCACGTAGGCCCAATCCTCGACCGACGTCGCACGACTGGAGGTGACTACGAAGGGCTCTGTACGCCGGCGCCAGATCAATAAATCGATTGACCGAGTTCTCATCTGAGACCCAGGCTTCAATCAATTCTCGGCCTGTTTTGCTCCCGGCGTGGGCGACTATTTTGGTGGCTGCGAAGTCAAACTCGTGACCCATTTCGTAGGTGCGGGCGGCCACTTGTGATAATGCGTCGCCTTGCCGCACAGCCAGCTTATGTTCGTGTATGCGCGATCCGAGCATGCGTCCAGTCTGTCTTGTGTAGTTACAAGGACAATTTTGACACGGGATGCGATACACTACTCCAGATTGCTCTTCAGGTTTTAACCGGTCTTTGATTTTCATGACCCTGTTGCGCACGGTGGCTTTGGGGCGGTGTGCAATTCAAACACCTAGCTCTGCAGCAATGCGCTCGGTCGCTTCTGAAACACCCTTGATGTATGGCAGAGAATGCCATATCGTCGGTGGCGTTGATGTTCGAGTTCTCTGGTGGCGACTGCGTAGGCAGCGACTTATGAATGCCCTCGGATAGCCATTTTGCACAAACTGGTCGCGGAGATAACGGGCCTCATGGGCTCTGTCCTCCGGTTTGCTGCAATGAGTTTGGATCCGTTTGAAGAGCGTCTTCACGCAGCTTCGTTTGTGAGCCACCGGATGGTTGCTGTGAAAACTGAGAAGCTGTGTGGTGTTCGTTGCCTTCCTATAAACCGTCGTTTTAAGTTCACCGTTAAGGTTTCGTCTGATAAGCACATCCAGGAAGGGCAACTGCTGTTCCTGTTCTTCTTCCCTCGTGAATTTTATATCCGGGAAGACTGCGTTGAGCAGGCTGTGGAAATGTTGCAACATGTCCTTCTTTACGATGACGAACGTGTCGTCAACGTAACGTCGCCAAAACACCGGTTCATGTTGGAGGAAGGCAATCTTTTCTAACTCCTGTAGGACCAGTTCTGCCACCAAACCGGAGACCGGTGAGCCCACTGGGGTTCCCTTAATTTGTTCATAGGTCTCTCCTGCAAAAGTGAAGAAAGTTTGTTGGCAGAATTCAAACAGCCTCATTAGATGTTCAATTTTGAGAGCATTTTGAGTCTCATCGTACGCCTCTTCAAGTCTCTTGCGCAAGACTTCGCGGGCCACGTTTGGCGGGATGGATGTGAATGTCACAAGTGGCCGCCCGCACCTACGAAATGGGTCACGAGTTTGACTTCGCAGCCACCAAAATAATCGCCCACGCAGGAAACAAAACAGGCCGAGAATTGATTGAAGCCTGGGCCTCGGATGAGAACTCGGTCAATCGATTTATTGATCTGGCGCCGGCGTACAGAGCCCTTCGTAGTCACCTCCAGTCGTGCGACGTCGGTCGAGGATTGGGCCTACGTGCCTTATAACTGCCGCTTGTCCTGTTTCTGCCACTACCTCTGACGATGGACTCCTGTACGAGTCTGAAAGCTCAGGATAATAAACGAAGTGTTCGGGTGCTCGACTCTTCTTCTTCTTCAAATATCTTTTTATTGATTTTGCATTTTTGCCGACTGCGAAGGACTCAGATCATCAGTGATCCCCCAGCGTTCCTTCTGTGCGTTCTGATAGATACTCCAGTTTTTAAGTTACAATTTTTACTTTTACTCAGAAATTGATCGCTGACTTGGGTAAATTTGTTTATCGGAAATTTTTAGACTTAGGCCAAACGCCTCGCAGCTCTGTCAAACAGCGGCAGAATGTAGGCGAAACTCGTGTCTGGGCTTTTGGCTAGAACCTGTGCTGACAGTTATGGTATATCGTATAACCCATTCATATTTGGGCTTCCTATCATTAGAAGACCGAGTATACGTTCAAATTCGTCCTAATTGCTTCAGAAATTTGTTCAATCTGGGACTAGCGTAGTAAATGTCTTGAAAACTGACATTCGAAATATTTACCTGAAATGAAGGTTTGGCCAGACAATAGGTCCAGTAGTCACCCCAAATCCTCTCTAGTTCTCCTCAGTATCTCTTTAGCAACAATTGGTTCACACCATTCAGCCACCTGTGAAAGCTCAAGATTTGAACTCCATCGTAAAGCGAATTGTCCAATTAGCGTCCTGGAGTCATGTCATATCAGCGGATGCTACTCACACATGAACAAATTAATCCATACACCGCTTCAGTCAAAAAGCCAAATTAAGATATTTTTGAAAAGTCGGTTTGACAAATATATGTGCCATAACTTCGGTGTAGATGTCACGTTCACTGCTCATTGACTGCGCCTCAAGCTTCAGTTAGCAAAGCATCTGATTTAGCCGTTATCGACGAACTAAACATTGTGATAGGAGCTGTTTTCGGAGTTCGGTTTTGACGTATCACGGTGAGTTCTCTTCTTATATATATATGTAGATTCATGTACATTCACTTATAAGCTATTTAGTAATTCTTCTGTAGTTTATAGTCATTTAAACGTTCAAATATTTTCAGAATTCGTATGTTTTTAGGCTGTCGTTTGTCTATCTTGTTCCTAAAGCTCCGATAGAAGCCAATTAGCCTTAGTTTTGACATCAGAAAAAGCAAAGTCCGATCGATAACACTTCAACTTTAGTCTAAATAGTAAACTGTGCTCGCAGGTGCATTCACGACACCCTA